GTCCAGAGCTGTAACAGTCCCATGTGAACGGCCAAGGCACGCCACCACGGTATAGTCTGTTTCCTCACTTCGGCGGTTCAGTACCCAGGGACCGCCCCGAGTGGAAATGGCGGGCACTCGCTAGCTTTTGAGAAGCCCTAAACCCTGGGCCTCACAAAACCACCTTCCCGCCATCTGCCAGCCGCCTGGTGAGCACGCTCTTGGTGGGCACTGGGCCCCATGACCCCACACCCTGAGATCTGGAGTGGTTTGGTGGGGGCAGCCCAGCCCAGCCTGTAGGGGCAGACTGTCCTGGGCAGGCCCCACCCTGTCCTACCTGTAGGGTCCCTGTGTCCATGTGCGGGTGTGTGTGTGTGTGTGTGTGTGTGGAAGAGAGACTAGCCTGGTTCCCAAGCCCCTCCAGGAACGGGGGTTCGCCTGTATGGGGGTCCAGGAACTGGGGTTCGCCCACCACCTGCCCATCCGCCAGCCGCTCAGGAAGGTGGATCTCTATCAGCACCCTGACTCAGCCCAGGCGGGGCCGCGTTAGCCACAGGCCCGGGACACGGTCCGCAGGAGGAAGTCGTGGGCCAGGGCGAGATGACATCACTCTGGAATGTGAGTGAGAGGTGTAGCTACCCGGCCTCCAAGGACATGACGTCAGCAGGAAAAACAGCCCGGCAGAGGCCCCGTGAACCCCGGTCTAGAGCCACGCCCCACATGACCTGAGCGCCACGCCCCTGGCCATCACAGAGCCCCCCGCCCCCCACCTGAAAGTCCTGCCTCCCCCAGCCGGTGTGAGAGCGCCGCCTCGCCTGACACCCAGCCTAGAGCCCCGCCCCTCGCCCCGCCCCTCCCGAGCCACACCCCCACCGGGACCGCGTCCGCAGACTGGCATCTGGCATCTGTGGGGGGACGGAGAGGCAGAGGAGAAATCGGCTGAGGGGTGGGGGGCAGATGGTCTTAGGGTGCGGAGCCAGAGGAAAGGGGGGGCGGAGACCAAGGCCTGGGAATAGGGGAGGAAGCAGACAAAGGTCAGGAGGGGACGTCGTCGCAGTGAGGAGCCGCTAACTGGCTGGGGTCCGTCCACCTGGGGTGGGACGCAGGCCTCCCCACCACCCAAGCAGGGTCTAGGCTGGGGCAGAGACCCGCCTGGCAACCGGGTGGTCCCTCCCTCACGCTGCCTAGCCTGTCCTTAAGCGCAGCAGAGGCTGTGTCCGACTTCTGGAGCGAGCCACAACTGCCCCTCCTGACTCCTCTGGCCCCGATGGAGGGCTGGGCAGGCTGCCTTGCCTTTCTCAGGGGATGAGGGGACCCGGGACTGGGAGCGGAGGTTGTTTCCGGCTGTGCCAGGTGGCCCCGGGAGGGGCGGGGCCGAGGCAGCTGCAGTGGGCGGGGGCTAGCCAGCCTCCCGTGGGCGGGAACCTGTGGGAAATGTAGTGGGGTTTCTCCAGGAGAGGGTCCCCCTCAGTCTTTTACCCCCATGAGTACCCAGCAGACCTGGAAATGATGTCATCCCGGTCCCCTGGCCCCTCTCCAGTGAGGAGTCACCCCCTTGCGGGGAAGGGGGAGGGAGTTGGGGGGTCTTTCAGCATCCCTGCCAGAGGGGCAGCTGGTGGGTATCCTCTGCTTGAGATGGGGCCCTGCCTCAGGTGTCTATGTCATCGCTCCGGAAAGAGGCTTTGGGTCCCGGGGTGCAGCACCTTCCCTGTCCCCCTTCATCAGGAATCCTGCTCCCTGGAGGGCTGACTTTGCTGCTGGCCAGCGGCCCTCTCCCGTGGGAGCTGGCAGGACCCCGAAGCCAAGGAGGCTCAGGCTCTGCCCACTTCCCTCCTGCCTCCCTCTTTCTCTCCTGCCCTTCCCCAGGCCCTCCCACTGGCCCCCTGCCCTCCTGCCCGCTATCCCTGCCTGGGCACCTGCTCAGTCCTCACCCTGGCCTGGGCTCCCCACCAGGCAGTGAACCCTTTGATGAGGAGGCCAGGGGGGTGCTTTGCCCCCACCCCACCATCATCTGGAGGGGAGGCCCCTCCCCCCCAGGTAGGGGAGAAGCTTACTGAGAGGTGAAGTCGATGGCACAGGATGTGGTGCACTGTCCAGCCCCCGGGCCTTGAGAATGTGGGGATGCCCCTTCCTGCCCCAACCACAACTCAGCCCGCGGAATGGGGCCTTGGGGGCTAGAGAAGCCATGTTCTGCGGACAATTGACATTTGGGGGCTGCTATGTCGGAACTGACTCAATGGCAGTGGGTTTGGGTTTGGTTTGACTGAGGAGGTGAGGGGTGGAGGTGGGGCAGAACGGGGCCTTCTCCCCAGGCACCCTTCAGAGGCTGCTGGAAAAGCCGTGCTGTTCCTACGAGCCTCTTCCCCACAGGCAGGCGTCTAGCAGGGCTCTGGGTGCCCCTCCTTGTTCATGTGGGGGATTCGGCGTCCAGCCTACTCTGCCATCTGCCTGTGTCCATTTGTGTCCCCCCTCTCCCTGATCTCCTGTTGTACCTTGGCCACCTCCCTCCCACCCCATCCAGGCGCCTGCTTACTGCCCTCCAGGCTCCTCACCCCCACCCCTCTCCCCACTCCTCTGTCACCCGTGGAGGACAGGCTCTGCTTATTGGTAAACCAGGCTGCTCTGCTCTCTGCAGGCCACGGTCCTCTCTATTCACTGTACACTGCCTCCTCGCCAGTCTCCCGACAGTGGGGCCCAGTCTTGCTGTGGCTCCATTTGTGAATTGATTTCTCAACAGTCTGCATCTCCAAGGGGCCCGACTGCTCTGACTTGCAGACCCAACGGGGGCGGGTCTGACTTGCGGTTCCCACCTTTCCTGCTCAGCCCTGCAGTCCGGAAGTCTAGGTCTAGCTTGTTTAGGTGCCTAGTGTAGGTATCCTTTCCTCTCTGTAGTTGTGGTTCCGCTGGGGGCTTTAGACAAAAACAAAATTCCACCAACTTAGTCTGGCTCCCTCTGGTCTGGTCTGTCGGGCACTGCCCGACCCTTGGGTGGTCTCCCAACCA